AACACCACTGTTGGCCTCGGATTGGAAAGAGAAAGCATGTGGACTACTTCTAACAGTAGGGGTTCATCTTTCAGTTCTGGTCTGAATATCTTCTTCTTTTTTAAGTTTAACAAATGCGAGAAGACATTAAGTTGAAATTACTGCAGTGTAAACATCGCATCTATCTAACTTTGAAAATAATCCCCCCCCCAAAAAAAAATTAGGTACCTATATAAAGTAGAAAGCATCCTTTACATTTGGTCATAAAGTGGATGGTCTGAAAACTCTTTAAATAGTGCCAGAAAATGGAGATTTAAAAAAAAAAATCAAAGGACTAAGGAAGTAGTTTACTTGGTAGAAGTTTTGGGTGCACAAGCATGAAGGCCTGAGTTTGGATCCCTACACTGCTTAGCATTCACAAACTGGAACATTAGAGCTATTTATTGATCTAAAATTTTGATTTTCCCTCTCTGGGGGTCTAGCTGGATCATGGATTTTATTCCTGTAGGTATTGCTTTGTGAAACTAAGCTGTTTCCAATGATCTGGCCATTTGTCTAAAGCATAACAACCATTCTTAAGAAATTTGGCATTAACCTAGGGATAGCTGCAGAATAGGCATCCATGCCTCATGCACACTCAGATGCAACATTTTTGGCTCAGGAATGGTACAGGGAGCCAATCATTTGGAAGCAAGAACCTGAGGTTAGTTTCTGACAGCAAAATTAATTGGAAAAGCCTTCTGGGAAATAAGATCATTGTAACAAGGAGAGGTAAAATTTATGTAAGACAAAGTTGAAACAAAATACAGGGTGGAAAAGCAAACAGTTTGAGACAAAAATTAGTTTATTTGGAAAAACTTTCTTTTGCAGAACCAAAATTTTGTAGTGTAAGAACAGTACTAGAAAAGAAAAGTGGACTATGTGGGAAAACTTGGTATCTCCAAACATTTACAGAGCCAACCCACATCTGTTCCTTTATTCTAATCATTCATATCTCTAGCAAACTCAAGTGGAAACTCCCATTCAACCACATCACTATTATGGAACTGAATAAAAATCTAAACAAACTAAACACTTATGGTGTTACATTTAATTTCTTAGACTCCAAAAGCAAAAGTATGACGTCATCACTTTTCATTTCGCTTATGTCTTCTTTTTTGCAGTGAATCATAGAGTGGCTATGAGCTTTCCCCCTTTTCTTCTTAGAATAGAGTCAGGTGTCTTTTCTTGGGTGCCTTCTTGGATTAATTTATTGCTTTTCACTGCTCACATTTAATTTAAATCAGATGCTACAGGTACTAGAGCCTGCTAACATTAACCCTCTGCATCCAGCTCCCCTAATTCAAAAAAAAAAAAAATCCTGACATTACTATAGTCATGCTATGGTACCTACAATATGATTTCAGAGAGTTTGCCTTCTGAAGCAGAACATTGACTGTACCAAATCCAGACCCATAACACTGAACAAACTCTACTCTGACAAACACAAACACCATAACTTGTTATTTAGTAACCTAGGAGACTGGTCCCATCTTCATATAGTCTAAATTCTGTATTTACCTATGTGTTCTAAATTCCTGTCCAACCCTATTCTCCCTGTTTCTGGGCATATGAGTGACTAATTCTGGGTTGGTATTATTTTCTCTGTTAAAGTTGTTCACTGCCAACAACTTCAGTTAGTATTTTCTTAAGCCTCTAACCCTTTATTCCACTGACTCTGAGCAATGAGCTCCATACAATAAATTTCTCTGTTATATTGCCTCACTTTTAATGAGGTGTTTACTTCAGGAAACATAAGAGATGTCAGAGTAAAAGGAAAGATACTGCTTTGGAAAACTATCTGTAAATGTATTGTAGTGGATAGAAAGTATTGAAACTGCAAAGTGTGTTTTGTATTGTTTTTAGTCTCATTTAAGATTGTAATGAGGCCGGGCGTTGGTGGCGCACGCCTTTAATCCCAGCACTCGGGAGGCAGAGCCAGGCGGATCTCTGTGAGTTCGAGGCCAGCCTGGGCTACCAAGTGAGCTCCAGGAAAGGCGCAAAGCTAAACAGAGAAACCCTGTCTCGAAAAAACCCAAAAAAAAAAAAAAAAAAAAAAAGATTGTAATGAGATATTGCAATAGGTCCCATCAATCAGTACCTAAGTAGGTATATACCATGAGGAACATCACTATTTCCAGGCATTCAGTTTATTTGCATAAATTTCGTGAGGTAGGTATTATTAAGAGTTAAGGCTACAAAGAGGAAGAAAAAGAAACCAAAGAAAGGAAACTTGTCCATTCCCACTGGGTAGTGCCTAGTCTGGTGGTGCTGGAGCACCAACAGTGACACAGTTGAGCTACACTCTTTCTTTCATAATAATATTGGCATAGCTATCCCCTCCCCCAAACAACATATAGCATGAATTCACCCCAGAACACACAAAAATGCTACAGAAATGCTTTATAAAATAGGTTTTTCATTTCTATTTGATCTCAAAATTCCCTGAACTGGGTTCAATTAGATACAAGCAAATTTTAATTGATAGAACCATGTAAATAGTTTTTCCTTGACTTGCTTCATAACAAACCCCAAATGCTTATGCTTCTTTACAAATAAGCACCTTAGAAGTATGGTAGCATTCTGAGGTGTTATCTGCTAACACCTGAGCAGACTACAAAAAGTTAATGGAGCAGCACAGAGAGATCGGAAGTATCAATGTTGACTCAATATTTTGCAGGATAATTACAAACTTGATTTTCATTTATATTACTCAGGGAAAGAAAAGGTATGGGATTCCTCTAATTTTTAACTCTTCTGAAATCTGTTTCCTACAAAGAAAGGGAGGCTTTGCCTTCATCTATAGAAAATAAATGCAGGTATTTTTCCTATATGTTGATTCATGTCAGTATAACATACATAATGCATTAACTGAATGATTTTTGTACAAACTGATAATGATACTACACCAAACATCAAATATATTTTTAATATTGTTTTTCCATACTCCTCTTTCATAGATATTTCATGATTAAACTTTAAATTAAAAAATAAACTGAATGGTCAGAACTACCAATTGTCATGTGAAAAATACTATGAACTCAACAAAGCCATTATTTAGTTCAATTATTATTTCAGGATCGAAAATACAATGTTTAATAAACTATTTTATTAAGTCATTAATTTTTTATTTTAATATTCTTAGCACTAGACAATTAAACTTGTGAAAATCACTCCCTTCTTCATCTTCTTGCACATGATTCCCATCAGCATCTACATACTGTATGGGAGCAAACGAAGGAGCACCCACAGTCCACATATTGCTTTTACCAATGCCTCTCATAGAAGCTCCTCCTTTTTAAATGGAGAAAAACAGGATCAAACTGTTGTTGGGCTCTTAAAGATGAGTTCTTTTAGCATTTGCATAGGGAGTGAGTATTAGCACAGTCAGAAGAGCAACAGAAAGGAAAAGCCTGCAGCTACCACTGCATGGCTGACAGGGTGATGATGCAGGATGTAAAAACTTTCATCTGATTGCTCATTTTCCTTGCTTAGATAGAGTACGGCTAGTCTCGAGAGCATATATGCATGTTCTTTTTACTTGGTGTTTTATCACTTCTTTTGTATTATTTAATATGACTAAAGACACTTCCAAAAGACTGATTTTTTCCATTTTGGAAAAGTAATGGTTTGGAATCCGGAGAAACACTTTAGAGACTGCAGTGTGTTTTTGCAAAGACAATAGAGTGAAGTACCATACATCAATTAGGCATATGATGCCAAAGACATTCATTTGTCAAACACTGTATGGTCTTTTAAAAATCAACAAAATAATAACTAGTGAAAAGTCCAATGAATATGAGTACATAGCCGGGTTCTATATCTCTTTCAGGGCTTGACTGGATACTTAATTGGAGATAGAGGAGTCCAGTGCAGTAGCATATGCCTATAATTCCATCAGTGTTTAGGAGGCTGAGGCAGGAGGACTGATGTGAGGATGAGCCTGTGCAAAAATGTGAGACACTGTCTCAAAGCAAAACAAAGCATAAAAAAATCACAAAGAGTAAAATATGAAAATGGAGATAAAGAGTAAGCTTGTATCAATAATGTGAAGTTAAGCAGCGTGCAGAGTAACTCAGGGAAGGACAGCCATAACATTCGAACATCATCCTCCCGTCTAAGAAGCACATGGACTTCATCACTCAGCTGTGATTATTTCTCCAGGAATTCTCGTTTCTACCTGGGTCAGTACTTTTTAGTAAACAAGAAACTGATATTCCTGACAATACTGAATAAGACCTGGCATTTTAAAAAGTGTCATACACTTTTCTGAAATCCACAATACATCAATTTTTAATACTTCTACTCTCTCAGCTCCATTAAAAAGATGGTAGGGGAAAGATTTTAGAGTAATTAATGATATAGTTAGCTGCTAAATATTAATAGGAATCGTAGTCTTGCATAAAATATAACATATAAACCTTGCCAATACAGACGCACCAGTAATTAAGCTTGAATATGTAATTACACTGATTTATAAGACAGGCAAAAAGTTACACTTTACCAGCTTCTGTGTAAACTGTGGGTAACAGTTAAACTTTGCATTTTACGGTTTATAAAAATGGGCAATGTCTTGACTACAGTTCATAAATGGTTTAGAGTCCTGTAATAGTAGTAAAAATTATGAAAACCTACCCTATCACAAATATTCATATTACACCATACAAACCAAACTCGGATAATGGCCCATATGATGGAGATTCATCATAGACAGTACTTAATGCCCAACAGGACTTTAGTACTACTAAGAATTTGTAGAAGAATGCTATCAACACTAAGTATAGGGTACTTGGAATAATCTCTAAGATGTGTGAACAACCATTTTGATATACTTTATATATTATGGGCATGGTACAAACCAACTGTGCTTAAACTTTTACATTTTTACTTAAACACCATGGTAAACTTCAGAAAAAAATATCAAATTCAGAAGCAAAAGAATATATTTTCATCCCTTTCAGGAATCTGTTAACCACACTTACATGTGTGGCTGAGGCGAGCAGCCCGGACTGCTGTTCCCATTGCTGTCGATGTGGTCCAGGGAACCATTGAGGTCTTCATGGACGGCCTGCAGGAGGCCACTGGAGGCGTTATTGATCAGTCCAGGGTTACTTAGCAAAGGCAAACTGCTCTCTGCCAAGGCAGCCTAGTGGGATGGACAAGGAGCAAGACAGCTTTAACAGGCCTGCCCTTTAAAGTCATGGCAACAGCACTTATCTCCCGTTAGCGCTTGCACATTGCATTATAGACATTTCAGAAGCACTTACATAAAATGTAGGGAAAGACAAAAACTCCTGAATGGCCACTCGCAGCCGAGGTAGCAAGCGCATTAATGTGCTGTGAACATATAAACAATAGCTCTCACAGCGAACTTTCTCACTTGTGTGTTAGCCTTTCACATAATGAAATGTTGATTCCTCGCGTGTTCAGAAATACTTGAGGATAATATAAGCAGTTGCTCTGCTTTTTAAAAATGACCAGAACTTAACTCAAAATAAAGAAGTCCTGACATTTGCCTCCTCTGCATAAAAATTATATATTATAATTAAACTTTAAAGTTTTTGCCACAAGCACCATGTTCCCCAACACTATGATGTGAAATCATTTATGACAGCCTGGATAAATATTAATGCATAGCCACATGCATTTGCAAAAGCTTCTATCAATCTAGCATTTGCAGGAAAGCTGAGTGTTCCAGATTTTGCCACAGGGTGTCCTTCTTGCTTCTTCACATCAAAAGTAGCTTGAATGAGAATCAGTGCTTTCCACAGTACTTGGTACTACAATGTCCTTGAATGAGAATCAGTGCTTTCCATAGTACTAGGTACTACAACGTCCTTGGGTGAGAAACCAACTATTAAGAACAGTCACAATCTCGCCTAGACAGAAAGCATGCCAAACAATAAAGTACCCGAACACCCCCAAAGGACAATAATGGCAGTGTGTATCTGATGATATTACCTGCAGACTGGCGTTGAGAGCTGCCCCATAGCCCAAACTTGTAGGGATATTTTTTACTAAAGTTGGACTTCTGGAAGAAAAAAAGAATAAGACTTATAAATTAAAATATGAAATATGTGAATATAAAATATAAAATTTTCTACATTATATATCAACCCGGTCCATGAATTAAAACAAAAGAGAAAAACTTTAGCCTATGGTGTGGAAGCAACATAGGACATGACCATGGACTTACTTTTGGCTTCCTGAGGGTTTTATTTCCAAGAACAACTAAAGATCATATAAAAACTCAAAAATGTAAATACACAAAACAATTACCAATTTGATGTAATCAGGAAATAATTAATGGTTAATTTCTGGAACACCATGAATTAACATAACAAATTACCATAGTTAATTAAATGACAACATAATGGATTAACTATTTCTTGAATGCAGAAATTAGCACATACTTGACTACAGAAATCAGAACTCCAGGACCAGGAGTAGACAGCATGCATAAAAACTATCACATAAGGCAATGGTGATTTGGGGAGTGGGTAACTCCATGCTACATGGAGTTAATTAGGCACAAAATTAGTTCCATTGTATTTCTAACTAAACTTGGGTGGTTTTTCTGTCTTAGAAAAAAAAAATCAAACTTTTCATGCAGTAACTTCCTCAAACTAATGTGTTTTGATAATCTCAGTTACATTGTATAGAAAACTGTGTTGGCTGAAAATAAATAAGATAAGCCCAATAGCAAGTTTGTTTAGAAAAAAATAATGATAAAGACTATGGAAAATTAAAAAAATCACATATTTTAAATAAAGTTTTTCAAGAGCATCAGTGCAAGCACCATCAGCTTTATTCAAAAACAGTCTTTTGTCCTCTATTACACCAGGCAGATATCTCCCACTAGAAAATATGCACCATTCTGAATTTATGCTTTTGACATACGTTGTAAACAGAATTGCTAAAATTAGCAACCAAAATATTTTCATGGAAAATCATTGGTTGGATAATGACTTGTTCATGTATGCCTGAATTCAAAAGGCAGCTCACAGCCAAGAATGTGAGCATGCCTTCAGCTGATGATTTCCGTACCCCACCCCCCAACTGCCAGCATCCACTTTTCCAGGATACAGGATTACAAAACTGTCACACACATACCCTGTTATCTTTTGTGACCTTCGCTTCTGGTATTCCACTTCATCCACAGTCCACACTGCTCCTTTAACATTTTCTACTCGAACAAAACATTTGTGCAGGCTAAGATTATGACGTACTGCATTCTAAATCAGACGGGAGAGAGCCAAAAGGAGCCAAAAGAATATTGTTTAATAAGGCAGCCCGACACACTGCTTTATTGATCTTACTTGATCAGAGTGAAAATTTCTAACATGTTTAAGCATGAAAATCAAAATATGGCATGATATTACAAACCCCCAACTTACAAATTACTAGAATCTGCAGTTTGAACTTTGTGATAAGAGAACCTTCCAAGCTATTTTAATAATAGCTGTGTCAAAACCTTTCTTTCATTGAACTGGTCTAAATTGCAATATCTGTACAAATTACAGTATCTTTGAAAATGCCAGAACAATTAGGTCAGCTCTGTTGTGTCCCTGATCAAGCACTCAGGGATGGTTGAAATGTCCAAAGGAACCAGTCCTGCTTGAGGTATTAAAATGCTAAAAAGGCTACAGTGACAAGTGTTAATTTTGCACAAAGCTTTATGCAAATAAGCTCAAAGGCATTCTTTTCATCCCTATAATAATGAAATGACAGAGTTTGTTTATTCTGTATTATTAGATGACATATGCAAGTTACAGTGTAGTGTTCTGCCTGCACAATAAGACACACTTAGAGTTTTTTTTTTTTAAATTCCCAATAAAGTTTTTGTAAATGTTAAACTCAATTGAAAGTCAGGGCTAGAACCCGAGAGTACGTTTTCTTCCCATAATGATTATGCAAACAGATGTTGTTGGCAGCTTTGTATTAGAGTAATTACTCAGAATTAACATTTTTAAATCAAATTAAGTCATTCCTAAAATTTTAACTATAATAAATATACAGTAGACAACATAATTTACCTTCAATATTTTCCATAATTCAAATTATGAACCTAAGCAAATATTTCTTGCTGTCAGGGTACATTGGCATATAGCTATCAAGCACTCAGAAATGACCTAATTCTTATTTCAAGAATATAAAACAAAGTAGTTTTGATGAAGATTTCTTTCTATTTGCACAAAGACAAGCTTCTGGCTTGCTTTAAGAGAAGAATTCTTTAAAAAAAAAAAAAAAAAAGGCATAAGCAGCAGATCTAGCATCTGACCTGAAATCCAAGGATTTGATTGATCTTAATGCCCATGTCTCTGAATATGATAATTTTAATATTAATGAGCAAATGAGCAGTTTTATTATGCATGCGATATAGTTAGAACTAATAAGCTGTTCAGAATGAGTTTTGCTGGATCCCCGAGCTGTGGAGATGAGACCAAGCTAAGATATTAAATCACCTTTCATTTCTTTTAAAATTTCTTTCAGTAAATCAAATGACAGAACATTCCTTACATTCTCTAATGAGTAACAAAAGAAAATGTAAACCTTCGACATAAATATGAGTTACTGAAAAATGCTTTAAAACATATATCGTGCAGATTATCCCTGACATGTTCATCATATAAAATACACACTAAGTAACTGCATAAATAAAACAATTACATCCATTTACAGTACCAAATACTGTAGCAACTAATAACATCTAAACATTTTGTAAATTAAAAGCATTCTGAGCCTGGCACCCATATATCTGTAATCGCCTGCCAGATTAATTTGCATTTTAAATCCAAATTAATTCACTTTAGCATATCTCACAGTCTAAAATTCTTAGTATGCTGATGAATGCTTTGCAGCTTCTATTCTTCTGAGCTACAAACATTTTCCCCTTTTGTACCAAATGGCTTGTGGCTAATTGATGTTTCTGACTGCTTTTTGAAATGAAAATAAAACAGTTCACTTAGTCTGTGCTGAGTGCCCTTATCTTTCCAGACGTTGCTCATTTCCAAAAATAGATGCACAGAACTAACATTTTTTTTTTTAGCTCCTTGTAAGATCCAGACAATGAAGTTGTTTGGACAGGGGTATAGATGAACCCTTTTGTCTAAGTAAATAAACTGCATTTATGTTCTGACAGGATAATATTCACTTTCCTTTCTTTCGTTCCAGCTGAGTAGCCAGGGCCCTCACTCCCGTGGCAGCTCCAGTCTGTATGATGAGGTATGATGTGTACAAAAGGAGCAGACCAGGACAAAACCTACAGCCTCCATTTGTTGCTCAAGCCAAACAGACATTTTTCAAACTAATTAGCCAATAATATGCAAGAGAAAAAGTAATATCGTGCGACTAACAAAGGTGTTGATGATTGAGTGCTCACACTGTAATTAGTGTGTCAGGCCCTCGTTTCTCTGCCAAGCCTCAGCTATTAATTGCACCAAATTAGAAAACTATATCAGAGGCAAAATTATTCTTTCACTTGTCATTTTGAGAGAGGGAATTCATTCCATTCAAGAGGCAGGTTAAAAAGAGGGGAAGCAGATACTAATCTGCTTATGTCACGTAAATAAATGCTCCTTGTGTTCCCTGGAAGGAACTGTGCTGGGCATCTTGGAACTGTTAGGGAAGTAGTTACCTTCCAAGTCGCAGCATTCCGCCGGAAGTAAGCGAATGTCCGTGTAAACCAGCTGTAAATTTCATTAAGCGTTAACTGCCTGTCAGATGACTCCATGATAGCCTGGAATGAGACAAGATACATAGTGACACAGAATAATGCTTTACTAACCAGGCTCGATGGCACTTTCTCATCTGAGCCTTACTTTAAGCATTAATGAATTTTAATTGAATCAGCCAAAGTTAATTTTCCCTCTACTTACCTGCCTTATGAGAGTTGCATAAGTAAATGGAGGTCTAACATCAGCATTTTTATAAAATTCGTAGTTTGGGGCAATCTCTATAAAAATAATAACAATAAAAGTCTGTTAATTCTCCTAATAACTCACAGGAATTGATTTTTCATCTTTCCCCCCAGTATTGGTCAAATGATTTGGTGAGAAGCCACTGAGAGCGAGCGCACAAAGCATGGCAGTGGAAGTGAATTATATGGAAAAGGCCATTTCTGACGTGAAGTGCAAATGAGGCGTCCCCTAGACGTTCACAGTACTTCAGGAGCAGTGTGACCAGCTGGCCTGAGGATTTTTTTTTCTCTTCTACCAGCCAGGTCCTCTTTTAAGCGGGTGGTTTAGGCGTGTTCTTACATGGACTTTTGCCCCTTGCCGTAATCTTTACTTTTCTCCTCTAATACTTCTTAATGTAGAACAGGGTCAACTCTTGACATCCGCATCTGCGGCCACCTAACAAAGGAGGCGCTGGCCCCTCCCAACTCCCACGTTGAAAATTACTTCACTTTTTGTCAAAAGGGGGCTCTGGGCTCATAATGGTTATAGTGTGTGACTGTGATTATCCAGATGCCCCAAAGTGGGCTGGTGGGATGGCAGGGGGCAGGGGGAAAGGGGAAGAGATGAGCGAAAGAGACTTTTTACAACATGTGAAATTTGTGCTCAGGATGCTCTTAAGCAAATAAGAGTGCCGGCATCAGGAGCCCTGGTCCAAGAGCCTCGAGGCAGCGCCTGGATAATGACCGATACAGCTGTGCAGAGGCACAACTGCAATGGTGCTCCCTACACGTCCTTTTAAATGGCTCTTATCATAGAGCATTACCTGCAGATGTTGGATGGCTCTCGGCTTCCCTCAGAGATCAAAGGATCTCATTGAATTGAGGTGATAATATGGGCTACCCTGACAACA